TCCCTACGTGGATCCCGAGCCTTGCCTGCCTTGCGCGAGTGTGAGAGTCGAAAACTCTAAATGCTTGCACACTAACCCTGCGAATGTGCGAGTCGAAATGCTTGCACAAACTCCAGCGGTGGCAGGAAGTAGTTTGTTGTTGCATCCAACGGCTTCCCCAATGACCGTATGGCCAAGACTTTGTGGAAGAGTTCGGGGCACTGGGATGTTTCGGGTTTTGTATACATACATAGATAGTGTGTGTGTATATATATATATATATTAATGTGCATGCACATTTTTGTGCCTCTATGCTCATGATGCCGTGTATACACGGTTGACTTCTTCGTGGAGCCCAGCAAGCCAGCTAGGAAGAAGATACCAGGAGGAGGTAGCAAGAGCTGTGGTTGTGGGTTTGGGAGTTTGGGGTTTGGGGTTCCTAAATCCTTGGGTTTAAAGCTGTAGGGTTGAGGGGTCTAGGGTTCCAAAATCCATTGGGGAAGCTGAAGTGACCTGAAAGCAAGAAGGTCTATCAGCAGGCCTGGCGGTGGCGCGGGAAGCTTCAAGTGCATCTCAAGCTATGCTTTATGGGTTTACGGCTTACGATTTGGGGCTTGTTTGGGCTGATAACCCCCCAAAAAAACCCTAATCCCTAAACCGTAAACCCCCAAAAAGCCAACAGACAAGCGCTGGGGCGCTGGATGTTTGCCGCACTTGTGGGTTCCCGCAGCCGGCTTAGATTTGCGTGAGCCCGCGTCCGCTGTAGGGGGCGGAACAATAGTCACACTGTGCCAGATCAAGGTTTGGGGTTTAGGGTTTGGGGTTCGGGGTTTAGGGTTTAGGGTTTTAGGGTTCAGGGTTTAGGGTTTGTGGCTTTGGGGTTTGGGGTTTGGGTTTTAGGGTTTAGGGTAGATGCTGCAGCCCGTGCATGATTTATAATCATATAGAATACATTCCACAATTCCCCGTTCTAATTATTTTGGCTAATATGTGATGGTTTTGAGTCCACGGGGTTATAAGTACCTTTGAATAGCCTTATTTCCAGCAGATACCGGTCAAGGGATTTAGGGGTGAGGTAGCTGAAGGTGTGGGGTTGTAGGTTGAGAGTAGAAGTGAGCTTTGGCCGGGTTTAGGGTTTACGGTGCAAAAACCCTAAACCCTAAACCCCAAACCCTAACCCTACATCCTCAACTCAAGGCTTAGGCCGCCCAGCTCCGTGGGTGGGGAGGCTTAAGCCCCTCGACCTCCATGGGGCAGAGCGACCCAAGACGCCAGCCCGCCTCTCCACAGCCATGGGAACCACAGCACCCCCGTAGCACCCGGTACAGGAACACGTTCTCCCCCGGGACTCAAGGCCCTACACTCTTAACGCCAAGCTCCTCGCCCTCAGAATGAAGCTTGCATTCGCGCACCGCCCTGCTTCGTCTGCTAAGCCTGCTCCCCTGCCCTTTCCCTTCCTGCCTTCCGGTGCCGTGCCCTGCTTCTACCCTGCCTTGCCTTATTCCTGGAAAGAAGAACGCGATGGCATGAGTTTGGGCCTATAAACCCTAAAAAAGAAGAGGCTTGAGTGGCTTGGCCGCCTTATATGGCATGGGGTGGGAAAGAAAGGAAAAAGCCTTCCACAGACCAGCTTTCACCTCGTCGCCATAGTGCGGTGCACTCGACACAACCTTGTCGCAAGATACTATCGCCTACGCGGGCCTACGCGCCATTCCACGGCCAATAGACCCTATACTCTGAACCCTAAGCTTGCTGCAACGACCCAGAAAGTACGTACCTAGGCATGTTAGAGGTTTAGGGCGCCAAGAGAGTCCGCGACCCCGCAGTCAAGTAATAGATCTTGAAGTTAACAGGGCATCGGACTCTCTATTCTGATTCAAGGCATATGCCTCAGTTTAGTGGCTTGGGGCGTAGACCTTATGGGTATTAGGCTTTAGGCTTATAGGGTTTAGGGTTCACTTTCCTACTTGCTACCTCGGGGGGCGATCGTAGAGACGGCGCCGAGCTCACGTTGCTCGGAAGACGCCCTGGGGCCACAGTGCCTGAGGGATTGCTGCGAATTACGCCTTAAGGGTTCTGGTCCACCCCTCGGATGCTCAGATGCCCTAAATAATAGGATCCCTATTATAAGGACCCCAAAATAAGGTACCCTAATTTTCTGAAACTCCCGCCTCGCAAGGGCAGAAGGGGCTTGGAGCTGGGAAGACCTCCGTGGGCCAGCATTGACAACCTAGAGACTCCAAAACCCCTTAATTAAGGGGTTTAGGGTTTAGGGTTTAGGGTTTAGGGTTTAGGGTTTAGGGTTTAGGGTTTAGGGTTTAGGGTATTTAAAGTGTATTCCTTAATCAAGGGATATTGGAGTCTCTGGGTCCGCAGCATTTCCTCCAAACTTCCGAACCTGACCTCTTCCAACAAGGGTTTCGGGCTTTTGGGGGGTTTAGGGTTTGGGGGGTTTGGGGTTTTGGGGGTTTAAGGTTTTGGGGGTTTAGGGTTTTGGGGGTTTAGGGTTTAGGGTTTAGGGCTTAGGGCTTTGAGGGTTAAGGGTTTAGGGTTTAGGGTTTAGGGTTTAGGGTTTAGGGGAGAGCTTCATGCTAGGCTTTTGCTACGGCTCCTTCGGTTGTCTAAGGGCTGCATCTAGCTGCTCCGTCTCCTGGGTTTAGGGTTTAGGGTTTAGGATTCCTCCTCCTTTGTGAGCTGCGTCCTTCAGATACGGTCAGAGCCGAGCATGTTAGTCCTGAACTCTTCAAGCTTGACCCCCAGACTCCAAAGCTCGCGGTCCTCCAACCCGACCTAAACCCCTAAAGCCCAATCCCTAAACTACTAATCCATAAACCCCTAAGCTCCCTAGATCAGACCCTAAACCCCTAAACCCTAAACCCTTATAGAATTTGGGGCTAAGCCCCTAGACCCTTATAGAATTTGGGGGTTTGGGCTTTGGGCTTTCACGGGCGCTAGAAGCCCGAAGGCCCTGCACCCATCCAAGGGCCACCAACCGAAAACGAGGCCATAAGAGCTTAGGGTTTGTTAGGGTTCATTAGAGCTTGTCAGGGTTTACTAGGGTTTATTAGGGTTTATTAGGGTTTTTCTTCGGGTTTATCAGGGTTTTTATTAGAGCTTACAGCTTACGGGGTTTAGGGTTTAGGGGGTTTGGGGTTTAGGGGCTTCGGGGTTTCGGGGTTGAGGGTTTCGGGCTTAAGGCTCAGTCTAGTGGGCAGATCCGGACTTTTGGTCTCTGAGTTGTAGGGTTTAGGGTTTAGGGTTTAGGGCTTAGGGTTGTAGGGATGATGTGGCTTAGCTCAGTGGAGAAGTCGGCGACAACCCATCCGGAGCAACACGATCAAACGAATTAATGTAGGGGCCTTAATGGTTCGAATAGGGCTTTGGGGGCCCATTATACTATATAATTATAATAGGGAACCCCCCAAAATAGTATAGGTAGTTATTATTATGGTCCCTATAACAAATCCAGCGAACAGTTCCAGGGCAGCGCCTGGCCGCACACCACCGTGCTGGGGAAGGCCACCAATCGATCCTGTGCCGTCACTTCGTGGGGGGTTTCCGAAAAGGGGACCCTAATATAGCACCCTAAATAGTAGGATCCCTATTATAAGGACCCCAAAATAAGGTACCCCCTATTTTTGGAAACTCCCACTTCTGTCCCTAAGTGTCGAGTGGACCTACGGACAGACACTAAGACCCTGGAGCTCCAAGCTGGACCCTAAAAACCCCAAGCCCTAAAAGGCCCTAAACCCTAAACCATATCATACAGCCATGCAGGTCTGGGGCTGGATGCTTCCAGGATGGAAGCTAAAGCTTAGGCTCCAACCCCCCCTCCCCACAGCCGATCCCGCAAGTACCCGCCAGGTGTGTCCCGTAAGTCCTTCAGCCAAACCAGGGTTGAGGGTTTAGGGTTTAGGGTTTAGAGGTAGGTGTAGGGCAAACATCGCCGGTATCTCCCTGGAAGCCCGCAATTCTGCAGATCGCATAGTTTCGGAGTTTAGGGTTTAGGGTTTAGGGAAACAGAGGTGACATACAAACCTGGGAGAATGCAACTCCCTCTGCTTCAGAGGGCTTTGAAACAGTCGGCCCAAGATCCTCGGATTCAGGAGAAGCCCTTCGTTTGCACTTAGGGTTTAGGGTTTAGGGTTTAGGGTTTAGGGTTTAGGGTTTAGGGTTTGGCTTAAGGCGACGGCTCAAACAGAAGTGAGGATGACAACAGCTCGACGTCGGAGATCCGTAGAACTCGGGAAGTTGCGCAGCCACGAGCCCAGCTGGAAATCCAGGGCACCAGCCCCAACCCGAAAACACGAAGAAGAAGGTTCCAAGGATTTCTCCAACCAAAAACCCCAAAAACCCTAAACCCCAAACCCTAAACCGTTACTGATGATGACGGCGTGGCGACTGGGTTTCGGCCTTCCCGGCTCGCCCCTGCTTGCTTGCTTAAGAGTACTCTGCTAACGACAGCCAGAGAGTTGAATCTTTATCCGTGTCGCTTACCCTAAACCCTAAACCCTAATACCCTATTCCGTAAACCATCCGTGTCCCTTGCCAGAAGACGGCTTCAGGCTTTCGGGCTAGGATTTAGTTAGGGCTTTGGGTTTAGGGTTTAAGGGTTTAGGGTCCAGTACCCGCTCCCTTCCACTCAGCTTCTGTATTCCTGGCCTCAATGATTCCGCTTGTCTCCAGGGTCACCGAGACACTGATCTTGGGCGCGCCGGTGGTATTGTACCTGAAGATCCGGATCAAACATAGGCTCGGAACAAGACAGCTCTCATATCATCTAGGATATCACCGAGTGGTGGTCAACAGACCAGGGGATGCGAGTCTTTAGCAACTCCACCAGACAACAAGAAACGAATGCTGCTCAGACACCCTAAACCCTAAACCCAAACTCCCTAAACCCTAAACCCTAAACCCTAAACCCTAAACCAAACAACCCGCAAACCCCTAACACTCATTTTATGGACCAAGACCATAAGACTGCTGCCAAGATGCTCCTTCCACTTGCCATCCAGCAACTCCTTGAGCCCGCTCACGGTGTATTCGGAGACCAGAATGTCGTCCTGACGTGTCGAACGCAGCTGCCTGTCACCGTCGTCGTTCTTGCCTTGTTAATCTTAGTTCATCTTGTTGTTGTATCCATTGATATTGATGTTACTGCTGCTGCTGTCGCTGCTGTTGTCGCTGTTGTTGTTGTTGTTGTTGTTGTTGTTGTTGTTGTTGCTGCCCTAAACCCTAAACCCTAAACCCTGAACCCTAAAACCCTAAACCCTAAACCGTAAACCCTAAACCCTAAACCCTTAACCCTGAATGCTTGTTGGTGCGGCCGAGTGCTGCAGCACTTGCTGCTTAAATCTTCCTCTGATGTCTTTAGCGTAGCGGCTTAATGTGAGGCTTCTTGCTATGATTGACTGGGCTTTGAAGTAACCAGGGAGAAAAAAAGTACAGACTTTTATTTCACAATGGTTCCTTTAAGGAACAGGTCCCAAAAAAAGTATAAAAGTATGGCACTCCAAAGCCCAGTTGAAGGATGACGGAAGTAGATTGAGGTCCCTCTTCTGGGCTCAACATTGTGACATGAACGGAAACAAGGTTCAGGGCTCTAGAGCTATAGAGTGTAGAAAATTAGGCGTTTCAGGGCTTTGGATACTAGGAATGTGTGTGATTTGGTTCTGGGTTGTGGTGAGTTTGGGCCTCAGGGATTTAGGCGCTTCGGGTCTAGGGGTACCTGCTCTAGAACTTTGGCTTTGGGGGGTTTAGGGGTCACTCCTAAAAACAATTCCCCAATGAGCCAGGGAAACAAAACTTTCAGATTACTGAAAAATAAATAAGAACGCAGAAAGTTTAAAGGTTGGGTTAAGTAAGCCCTAAACCCTAAGCCCTTAATCTTCAAACCTAAAACTCAAACCCTGAAATCCTAAACATAAACCCTAGACCTCAAACCTAAAACCCAAACCCCTAAGCCCTAAACCTTAAACCCCAAACCTACAACCCCAAACCCTAAACCCTCCCGGCCTCGAAGAGCTTCACCATGAAATCCTCTTCCAAGTTGAAGGAGAGCTTCTTCTTGCCACCTCCGGTCGCCGCGGTTTAGGAGTTTAGGGGTTTAGGGTTTGGGGGGTTTAGGGTTTAGGGTTTATAAGGGGTTTAGGGTTCAGGGTTTAGGCTTAGGGCTGTAGGGTTTAGGGGTTTAGGGTTTAGGGTCTGGGGTTTAGGATTTAGGGTTTAGGCAGCATGTGCCCATACAAACGAACGAACAGGAGAGGTACGATGCGGGGTGCGACAGGGGGTAGGATGTTCAATGGAGCGTGCTCGCTCGATTGAATGGTGCTTTGCCCAATAGGTGGCGAATTCCGGAGTAGCGAACAGAGGCTGCTTCTCCTTCTGAGCCTCCAGGTTGTCGGCACTCAGCCGCTCGGTGACATAGGGTGCCCGTGGCACCGCCACCGCCTTCTTCCGGGGACTTTCGATCCCGTCGTCCAACAGCTCCGCCCAAAACTCTTCCTCCTGGTCCCCGCCGCCAACCC